AGTGAGGAAGATGTGGAAGGGGAAGTACGGAAAACACAGGCGGAGGCTTCTGGACTTGTTTTTCTCCTACATTCTGAACTTTCACTTCCCAGTGGGAACTGAGATCTTTGCCCCCCAAATCCTTGCTTCCCATCCCATGATTTGAAATAACAAAGTCCATGCACCAAGAATGGAATGTCTACAGCTCTCCTAGAGGGAGTTTATTTTTCAGGAACAGCACAGAGTGGGAGGGTTGGTCTTTTGCCCCACCCCATAGTGTCCTAAATTGTTGAAAATTTCAAACCGGTACAGTAATAGAAATAATGAGTTAAAGTTCTTTCCATAGAAGCAACTGAATCATACTGGCATGCTTAGGTTTACAGAAAACGTTAAAAAGATTCATAGTACTATAGAATAAACATAGAAAAAATATTCCCTAATATCATACATGGAGCTAAGATAGTGATACAACAAATTCCCAACCAATGTACTAGTTTTGAGTCAGTGGGCTTATTTGGTTGAAGTTGGCACTGGGAACCAAGATTGCTGGCGGGGTCCCTGTAAGGGCCGAAGACCACTCCTTTAACAGAGCGTGTATCTCTCATCCCAGCTTTAACGAGGTCTTGTTGCCTGCACATTCAGGGGTACTTATGAGTATTAAGTGAGGTAATCTATGTGACAGTGGTATAGACATGCTGTCACCTATCGTGTGCTTCTCTGTAGCTGATTATGATCCAGAAGAGACCCCTGTGAACGCCCCAGGCTAAACTTCCTGCCACTGATGACGGAACAAATCAAAGCACAGCAGACACCTGAAGTAGTTTGTTGGTGCGAAAAAAAAAAGGTGCATTATCATACATACTGTGTAGGTAATTTATACAATATACCCATTGGAAGTTCCTCTGACAGCATCCCAATACTTCATGTAAAACAGTTCTTGAGCGTTAAAAGAAACAGACTATATATCCCAGCCCGATCACTTTCAATCCCAACCAAACTTCTGTGGGAAGCTCAAGTTTCAGGCTGTGGGGTGAGTGTGAAGTTGTGAAATGCTCAAAACGAGGGGCTATTTGTGGCTGTAATGCAAGACGAGGCCAGCATGCACACTTGATCCCCGAGCGGCGGTGTCTGTCGGAAGGGCTAGCGTATTTCAGTGGTTTCTGCTGAGGAGGGCACGCCAGGAAGAAAGCTTAATACGGCTAGGCTGGAAGGGGGAATCGCTCTGTCCCAGGTGCAGCCTATCACAGCAGGAAGGCTGTGTGAGGGAAACAGGTTGCTTAAATACTTTTCCAGCTCAGTTGTACAATCAGGGCTTCTCACTTAGAAGCACAGGACTGGCAGTGCCGGGCCGTCAAAGTTTCCTCCTTCCCAACATCAAGATAAAGTGAAAGCAAGCAGGCACTCGGAAAATTACTGGTGTTCTTCCTCATCAAGGCACATGGTAGAAAATTGGTCACATTTCATTTGGGTTCAGTATTTCCTGTACTCAAAGCTATCCATAGCAGAGCCCCTAGAAAGTAGTTTCTTCTTAAAAAAATTTTTTTTTAAAATTAATTTATTTTTTATTTTATTTATTTTTTTGGCTGCATTGGGTCTTCGTTGCTGCACGCGGGCTTTCGCTAGTTGTAGCAAGTGGGGACTACTCTTTTTTTTTTTTTTTTTTTTTTGCTGTACGCGGGCCTCTCGCTGTTGTGGCCTCTCCCGTTGCGGAGCACAGGCTCCGGACGCACAGGCTCAGCAGCCATGGCTCACGGGCCCAGCCGCTCTGCGGCATGTGGGATCTTCCTAGACCGGGGCACGAACCCGTGTCCCCTGCATCGGCAGGCGGACTCTCAACCACTGCGCCACCAGGGAAGCCCAGGGACTACTCTTCATCACAGTGCATGGGCTTCTTATTGCGGTGGCTTCTCTTGCTGCAGAGCATGGGCTCTAGGCACATGGGCTTCAGTAGTTGTGGCACGTGGGCTCAGTAGTTGCAGCATGTAGGCTCAGTAGTTGTGGCTCGTGGGCTCTAGAGCACAGGCTCAGTAGCTGTGGCGCACGGGCTTTCTTGCTCCGCGGCATGTGGGATCTTCCCGGACCAGGGCTCGAACCCGTGTCCCCTGCAAAGGCAGGCGGATTCTTGACCACTGCGCCACCAGGGAAGTCCCGAAAGTAGTTTCTATATGGCTCTCTTAAAGCACAAACTTTTATAACTGGCTTTTCTGCTTATGGTCGCTCTAAGAGGCAGAGGCATCTGAAAAGGCTATGTGAACCACCTCAGTTTGCATTTCTATGAGAAAGATAATTTATTCTTTAAACTGAAATTAGACATTCACCCCATATCTAGTCATCTGAGGCAGTGACATGCTTTTCCTGAGAGGAAGAGGAACCAGGCCATTTCCTGCAGTGTTCTTCCTGCCTTCAAATCTAAATACTCTATCAATATTTTTCTACTGGGTGAATTTTATTTTGAGCAGTGATAAACTACCCTCAGGGAAATTAGTTACTTTGCAATAGGGTCTAAATTCAAACATCTCTATTTCTGATTCCTTGAAAATGAAACAAAGGCTGAAGTAAGAAGGACATTAAAATAGTTAATCCAAACTGCAGACTCCAGCGTTTGCCTCTGTTTCTTTCATAACTCTGGTTCCCAGGGTCAGTTGGCATGCTCATTCCCCCTGGATTTGATTGTTAGGTGGATAATGACATTCTACAAGGCAGGTTTCAAAGGCTGGACCCTGTGAGGGAAAGTGTTCAATAAATCAGAGTGTGAGCTCCATGGGAAAAGGGGTTTGCTTTTCTCACGCTGTATCCCAGGTACAAGAACCAAGCCTGGCCCCTGATGAATGTGCGGTAGAAATTTGTTGCATAACTGAGAGGAGAAGTACTTTGCCTATATTGAACTGAGCTATTCTCAAATACTTTCAAAACCATTTACCAATAACCGCCACTCATAACTTACTTTGAGGTGAGCATATCATTAATATGTTAAAAGGTGTTGCACATTTAAACTACTTTTTTGAGAAGAAAACAACCTATTGAAAAAAACAATATATGAGATTTTAAAAATTCCATTCATTTAACAAAGGGTTATTTAGTAAATATTTGTTAAGCAACTAAAATGTTAAGACAACACATATTGTTATGAGGAAGATCATGCTGAGATTAATCAAATGGACATCACCCTCAAGATGCTTGTGGTGTGGGACTTCCCTTGTGGCGCAGTGGTTAAGAATCCAGCTGCCGATGCAGGGGACATGGGTTCAATCCCTGGTCCGGGAAGATCCCACACGCCACGGAGCAACTAAGCCAGTGCGCCACAACTACTGAGCCGGCGCTCTAGAGCCCGTGAGCCACAACTACCGAGACCGTGAGCCACAGCTACTGAAGCCCGCGCACCTAGAGCCCGTGCTCCGCAACAAGAGAAGCCACCGCAATGAGAAGCCCGCGCACTGCAATGAAGAGCAGCCCCCGCTCGCTGCAACTAGAGAAAGCCTGCACGCAGTGACAAAGACCCAACACAGCCAAAAATAAATAAATAAAATAAATAAAAAGATGCTTGTGGTGAATCTAACAGGGAGACAGACACAGACATGTGTTCCTGTGTATTCTACAGAGAATGCTGGGGAGGACCTGGGAGATCCGGGAGGCTGACAGTTCCAGGGAGACTTCCAGGAGGAAGAGGACTGTGTCAAACACATATCTGTGTATCCTTACAGCCGAGCAAAGAGTAGATATTCATGTTTGTTGAATGAATGAATGATCCTTTCTTCATCACTGAGCCTGAGTCCTCAAGTTTAAAACAAAGCAAAAAACTCAAAATTAATAAATAATATGGTGTTTTAGTGGATCAAAGGAAGAGACCACATCTAGATCACAGAGGGTAGAAGAAATCGAGGGTCCTGAAGCAGATGAAGTGCAAACTTCCAGGATCAGGGAAGGACGTTCGTAAAGCTATGGAGGGGGAGGGGAAAATGGAGAGTGCGGGAAGTCCCCGGATGTAGCTGAAACAGGTGTGGGAGATGAGGATGGAGCGGACCGAGCCTAGGAGTGAGCAGGGCAGGCTGCTGGGCTAAGGGATTGATTCCCGGGTGGGCAAAGGGAGGTGCGGGGAGCGGGTTCACCTCGGGGGAGCATCCTGATCCGGGAGAGGGGATGCATTGTACTTGGACCAATGACCCAGCACAGGTGGGAAGCTGGACAGAAGAGCTGGTTTTATTGGGGGTGAGGGGTGAGGGTGAGAGTGTGAGGCTGGATTTAAACTTCTCAGATGCAGTGAAGACAGCTCGCTGGGCATGTCCGTCGTGCAGTGGAAAGCCTGGGGGTGATCACACAGTAGTAGCTTGAGCAGCAGGTGTCTTGTTTTTTTAAATGATGTTTTTATTTGAATAGGTTATACCGTCACATTTGGCAAGGTGAAAATGAATTCCCCGTCCCAGCCCTGGTTGCCTATTTTTTCTCTCTAGAAGGAACCACTGTTTCCAGTTTCTTGAGGATCATTCTAGAAATATTACATACATATGTTTTGTGTGTGCGTGCCGCGCCGTGCGGCTTGTGGGATCTTAGCTCCCCAGCCGGGGACTGAACCTGGGCCATGGAAGTGAAAGCCCCGAGTCCTAACCCCTGGGCCACCAGGGGATGTGTGTGTTTTCATGCCCCCAGGAGGGTTAGGTATTTTTGTTTTTTTAAAGGCTAGAAGGCTTGTGTGTCTTTGAGACAGAAGGGAAAGAACAAGAAGAGAGGTGGAGACTGTGCAAGAGGAGTTACTGAAGCAAGGTCTGGAGGAGGTGAGAGGACATAATCAGGGATGCAGGCATATGCTTTAGCGGGAGGAGTGGACCCATTTCAGAGTCAGGAAGGGCAGGCTGATGGCAGTAGAGGTTTCTGATGCTGCATCACTTAGAGGACCTATGTATCCTGGCTGAATGGTGGCAGAGATGTGGGTAGAGGTAGATCAGTGGTTGAGGAGGATGAAAGAGAAGATATAAAATAGCCACTGTGGCTACTAGAAGGTGTCACAGGGCTGTCAGATCCAAAAATAATCAATCCAAAAAGGTTTATTTTGATAATTTATAAAAGAAAAATCACCATAGCAACTTAAAGTTATTTACAGATTTAAAAATAAATTTACAGAAATGTGTACACGTCATATTACATTAAATAGCTTTAGTTAAGATGTTACAGGTAGTGTTGAACATACACAACAAAACGTAAATCAAGTTCCAAACCACATAAATGCCCTCGAAGCACGCTCAAAAACCACTGGACGATGGCCCAGGAAAAACTGGCAGAATGAGCTTTCAGAGACCAGCAGTAAAGACGGTCACCCCACTGGTTGCAGGTGCTGCAGAAGTAAGAGTCACCCTAACCTTGAGCTGCGACCAGACACTGACACGTAAGACAGAGAGAAAACATGTGAGAGTGCTTCTTTTAAATTTAATTATCCTGGTGGAGCTCATAGAACACAGGACTTGAAAATGTATACTCTGATCCCACATGAAGGTGGGATGATGTTACTTGTGGCTAATTGGGCATCATACTTTCTTTTGCAGGTTACATGCCAGTCAGTCTTCCAGCGTTCTGGAAAGGGAAGGGTGAGGGGCATGGAAGCCATGGCTGCGGACTGCGCTGTCCCTGCCGGCTCAGGGCTTCGGCCACTCGTTAACAGCCCCAGGGGAATGACACCATCCAAAGCCTTGGCGCTGACCCTGGTCTTGGATGCTGCCTCTGGTAAGTGCTGGGCACTGTCCCTGAAGCCAGAGAGGGAACGCCTGGCAGCGGCCTGGGCACGCTTCCCTCAGTGAAGTTGCCAGGCTGAATGATACAGTGGCTGGCAGCTCCGTGGAGATGCTGAAGTTTGAGATCTAAGTGTCAGGGAATGTTGATGACAGATAAGTTTTTGAGGAAAGTGTACAGAAAAAGGTGTTTACCAAGACCTGAGAATTATTATCCAGCTTAAGCAAAGGTATAGAGGGGTCCGTTTCTGCTCGTCCCTTTAAGTATGGTCTTAAAAATAAACAGAACTCCCCTCTTTCAGACTGCCTGACTTGCAGCCAGGTATGTGACCCTGAATTGTAAGTTCCAGCAAATGTGTTATTAATAATTAAAAACAGCTAATTTTACTAATCTGGCAACTAGTGACATTTCATGATTACAGGCCTTAAAAATTTAATACAGTACAATTTTTTCTTATATATAGATTGCTTACACATTAAAATATCAAAGGCACTGCTAGGTTACATGATAAACAAAAATACATCGAGACAGGATTATTTATTGGTTCCTTCAGTTTCTGGGTTCACCGTGATCCCTAACAGCCCAGTTTTGTACTTCACCTTTGGAGAACAATGTGAAGAAAATGGCACCAAATACGTTGACAGCAGCAGCAAGGCAGAAAACAGTTTGCCATTCTCCAACAGTGTTCTGCAGAGAAGGAAAGAAAAAATGCAAATGAAAAAGGATTTTGTTTGTAATCCACTTTAAAAAAAGGTGGTGTCACAAGATTATTTTTATATGGCAGTAGCATTATTCATAAAAACTGGAAACAACCCAAATGTCCATCAACAGTGAGATGGTGGCATATGTGTTCCATGGACTACTTACAGCAACGACAACGAATGGCCCACAACAACATCGATACGCCTCACAAAGAGTGCACACTGAACGACTCCACTGACATAAAGCCCATAATCAGACAAAAATAATCTACGGTGTCAAAAAGGAGAGTGGTTCCTCTTGGTGGGGGTGAAAGAGAAAGGAAGGGCTACCTGGAGGCTTTGTGAGGGAGATAACGTGCTGTTTCTTGATTGGGTGGGCACTGGTCACACAGATGTACTTTCTGAAAATCTGTCCAGCTTGTGTACTTAGGATTTGTGCATTTAAAAAATGCATGTTACACTTCAATAAAAAAGTTTGCTAAAAGTAAAACATTGGCATGTCCTCAACTCATGCGTTACTAGGAAAGTGTTAGTATTATGCCTGCACATCATCTCCCAAGTTCTCAGGTATGGGGTGTCGGGGGCAGATCAAGTAAGGATGAGGTAAGATGGACACAGGTTCAGCCTGGCCTGAAAGATCCTGCAGGGCTCTTGACTGGCACACAACACAGAACATAGATGGGATCTGTCCGTAAGAGATCAACAAGACACAGTGTGTAATCCAGTGGTGTAAAAATATCCAGTAGTTATCTAAACCTCTGGGTCGTGTGACTATCTTTAACAACGTTTTTGTTTGGATTTTCACAACTTCAATGTAACCAGAGTGCTTCATTTGCAGCAGTTAGAAAAGAAGAAACCAAGTAGCTGATTTGGCAATGAGGAAGAAAAAGGAAAGGCACCAGCAAGTTGGCATGAAGTCATTTATTTAGGAAAAAAGGAAAAACACGGAGAAAGAAAGGAGTACTCTGTGGTCAATTATACTTATCTGAGATGAATGTATTCTGGTGGAAAAAAAAATCTTAGAAACCATCTTAAATTTTAGGGACTATTTAGATATGCTTGCTAACAACGTGTTACCATCCTAGAGCAGAAGTCGGTCAGTAATTACTAATTACATGATATACCCGAGAGACAGGTTTAAGACAGCTTCTTAGGATTCTAAGAAAAAGCTGCTCTGTGTGACCTGCAGGATAAAATAATACCCCAGTGTTACCTGGAGGCAACGGGTGACTTAAAATCAATCAACTGTACCAGAAATCGCACAAAGCTCCTGGTTTGTTTTTTAACAAAAACTCCACCAGTTTTTAGAGAATGCTGTTGTGTCTGTAACGGAATTGAACCTCAGACACACTTTGACCTTTATTTCATTATTATTATTATTATTATTTGGCCACACTGCGAAGCTTGTGGGATCTCAGTTCCCCGACCAGGGACTGAATCTGAGCCATGGCAGTGAAAGCGACAAATCCTAACCACTGGACTGCCAGGGACTCCCTATTTCATTATTTATTTATAACAAATAAATTATAAATTATAAAGTGCGGTAAACTTTAATTGTAAGCAATTACAATTGTACAGGTAAATGTGTTTCTCCTTTTTAAAAATAATGGCCTTTTTTAATAACATTAAACAAATGCTGTAACAATAGATCTGAAATCCAGTTCAGTTCCCACTTTACAAACATTCAAGACTTGAATTCAGGAGTCCAGATCTTCCCAGCAGAAGTGCCAGGACTAGTGATAATGAATGAAATTACTCGTGGTAGTGTGCTGACTTAGGTTCCTGTGTTGCCACAATGCTCCATGAAGATAAGGGTAAACATCTGTGATGGGACATACCGAGCGGTCCCAACATCCCTTTCTGTTAAGTGAGAGAAAACGGTAACAAGGAGGCACTGATTCACTTGAGTAAGGAATTAGAAATGGTAGAGCACCACCTGCAGTGAACACCCCTGTGTCTGAAGTCAGAGTATTTGGTAATAAGACAATTTGTAGGCATATACTGAAATTCTAAGGATTAGATAGTGTTAATTTCATCACAGAGACAAAACAGAGAAAATTAAGTCTCTTTTAGAGGTTTAAGTCAGCCTCTTGAAGAACACATTTCACTAGTCCTTTAGATTTTCTTAAGCAGTAGAAAACTGGAGTTGGAAAGGGCCTTTGAGGTCGCTGAATTTGATTTCTTACACAATATAACTCAGTGTCTCTGCTTCAGGCCACACAGCCCCAGGCCCACCGTGTTTCTGGGGCCTCAGTGCCCTGACACAGGCCGGATACCAGCCCTTCCCACACCCTGGCTCACTCCTCCAGGCTCCTTCTCCGCAAACTGGTTGTTCCCTCCTCTGTGTCCACAGCAAGAGCATACATTTTTCTGCAGCTTTGTCACACTGTACTTTCATTACATATAATCTCTATTTTTTTTTTTTTTTTTTTTTCGCGGTACTCGGGCCTCTCACTGTTGTGGCCTCTCCGTTGCGGAGCACAGGCTCCGGACGCGCAGGCTCAGCGGCCATGGCTCACGGGCCCAGCCGCTCCACGGCATGTGGGATCTTCCCGGACCAGGGCACGAACCCGTGTCCCCTGCGTCGGCAGGCGGACTCTCAACCACTGCGCCACCAGGGAAGTCCTTTTACATATAATATCTAAATAATGAATTTATCAAGTGTAGAATCTTATAATTTTGCCTTTGAATCCTTAGTATCTGTCACAGTAATAAGCACTCAAGAAATGCCAGTTGAATACATGTTTGACCGTTTCAGGGCTCACTAACTCAAAGGGCAGCCCGTTCCACACAGTAACAGCTCTAAACAGAAAACTTGCCTATTGTCTCCTCGTACCTTCTCTCCATCTGGCTTTGTGGAACTACCGAGAATAAGTCACCATCTTTCAAATCTGTGAAGACACCTATACGTCCTCCTAAGTATTCTGCTCTTCTAAACGTTCTTGATTATTTCAACTGTTCTTATTCATTCTCACCTGATTTCCTGACACTTTCGTGGTTCCATTTCTGGAATAATTCTACATTGCCAATTTTTATTTGTTCAAACCAAAGATACAAGTTATTTATCTGGTATAATATCACAACTTTTAAGTACTTGTGTGGTTTCAGTTACAAGATCTTCATTTAACTTAGTTCTGTTGTTCTGTCTAAAATTGAAAGTGTTCTTTGAAAATATACTTTCCTACCTATTACGGTATTTAGCTTTTTGTTGCTGTAAATAATTGCATAAGAATAGACATTCAGAATTTTATCCTTAATTAAAATATACTCAACTTTGACACAGGTGTGTACCTTCAAATGAACTGTTTAGAGCTTTTCAGTTTATAGGCAAATTATCTACTTACCTCAGGGGTCAGACTTCTAGCAATGATGGGCCCAATCATTCCAGGTATAGTGGCAAAGGTATTTGTGATGCCCAGGAGGATACCAGCATACCTGCAGAAACATTTTCATAGGGGTTTATAATTGTGTTACACATTTTTTGGGGGGGCGGGGGGCACCGCGCAGCTTGTGGGATCTTAGTTTGCCAACCAGGGATCGAATCCATGCCCCCTGCAATGGAAGCGTGGAATCCTAACCACTGGACCGCCAGGGAATTCCCTGCATCACACATTTAAATAGCTTCTGTCCATAGATAGCTAGACCATTCCCAGGCTGTATTCTTGTGAAATTTTATGTCTAAATGAAACGTCTTATTGAAATAGGACTAAATATTTGGGGAGTGAAAAACTTACATTTCAATAGTTCTAACATCATATAGAGAAACACAGCCATTGAAATGATCCCTTTTACAGTGAAATAGAAAAGTGCTGAGATATGATTTTCATACAAGGCTGTATCTAGATAGGAAGCTTCATGTGCCTTAAAATTTTTTAAGTTAAAAAGAGAATTTAGGGCTTCCCTGGTGGCGCAGTGGTTGAGAGTCCACCTGCCGGAGTAGGGGACACGGGTTCGTGCCCCCGTCCAGGAGGATCCCACATGCCGTGGAGTGGCTGGGCCCGTGAGCCATGGCCACTGGGCCTGCGCGTCCGGAGCCTGTGCTCCGCAACGGGAGAGGCCGCAGCGGTGAGAGGCCCGCGTACCGCAAAAAAAAAAAAAGGGAATTTATTTCCTGATTACAAAATTTATGTCATTGTTAAAAATTTTTTAAAAATATTACAAAGAAAGTAAAATTACTTATAATCCTTCTATATAGAGATAATCAACATTAATATTTTGGTAAATATCCTAATTATTTTTTTCTGTATATATTTTTAATATATTATAGAAATGAGATCATACTGAACACACAATTTCACAACTTACCTGTTCAACTTATTATGTATCTTCTTGTCGCTAAATCCTTGCACACTGTCCCAGAAATAGACAAGTTGGGTTTATATATATTGTAGTGTATGACAAAAATGCATTTTGAACTCTGTCTTTTCAGAATCTTTACTGTCCTCAAAGCTAGTACTTTGTGTTTTAAGAGGTACTCGTTCTCTAATTCAAGTTTGCTAATTCTGACTCCATAGTCTCCCTGAAAACTCATGTTTTATTCCCCTTTATTATTTCCAGTAGCCAGTGCAACATCTATGCTCATTCAATATGTGCTGACCACAGAAGTGCGTGTGACCCACAGGTGTTCAGGCCCACGCGTGGTCCTGTGAGGCTGCACTGCAATGACTGCTGAAGCTTGTCCCATGGAGACCAGCACCCCTTCTGCGCTTTGGCGCCAAAGGATCGTACAGTATGCAACATTTCGGATTACATGCTAGGGTCGCTGAACATTATTTTAAGTTGTTGTGTGTATCGATAGTTGTGTGTGTCAATTGAAGAACCTGGGATTTTGTCCCGTAGATGGACCTACATTCTGGAGTTTGTAGACTGAGGCATCATTTAACATAGAGTTATGTCCCCTGTATTTCCTGCACACTGGTAGTATCTAGACTCGAGATCCTAAAGGGTTCATTAGATTTACGTTTGATATTTTTAGCAAGAAAACTTAACGGTGGTGGTGGAGTTAAAAACTAGTTAAGCACGGACTTCCCTGGTGGCACAGTGGTTGGGAATCTGCCTGCCAATGCAGGGGACACGGGTTCGGGCCCTGGTCCGGGAAGATCCCACATGCCGCAGAGCAACTAAGCCCGTGCACCACAACTACTGAGCCTGCGCTCTAGAGCCCGCGAGCCACAACTACTGAGCCCGTGAGCCACAACTACTGAAGCCCGTGCGCCTAGAGCCTGTGCTCTGCAACAAGAGAAGCCACCACAACGAGAAGCCCGCGCACCACAACGAAGAGTAGCCCCCGCTTGCCACAACTAGAGAAAGCCCGCGTGCAGCGACAGGGACCCAAGGCAGCCAAAAATAAATAAATTTATTAAAAAAAAATTAGTTAAGCAAGTAAATGGCATTTATTAACTTAGCACCTAGGTATATTCAAAGTCCAATTAGAGCTTTTAATTGTTTAATGAGATAATCAGTATTATAAAATTGTGGTCAAAATGAAAGAAACTTGATGTTTATTAGACCATATAGTCTTATTGTGGGAAAATACTATTTCTATTAGGGTTTAGGATCCTCAATACCTTGGTTGCAGACTACTTATCTGAAATTCCTCTCCCCATTTTAGACATGGAAAAGTGCCTGCAATGGACTGAACTGTGTCCTCCCCCAATCCATACCTCCCACGTGACTGTATTTGGAGACAGGGCTTTTAGGAATTAGTTAAGGTTAAATGAGGTCATAAAGGTAGGGTCTCAACCTAATAGGATTGGTGGCCTGCCAAGAAGAGGAAGAAAGAGAGATCGGGCTCTCTGTCTCTGTGAGCATATATGAAGGAAAGGCCACGCGCGAGGACACAGTGAAAAGGTGACTGTCTGCAAACGAGGAAGAGAGCCTTCACCAGAACCTACCCCTGCTGGCACCCTGACCACGGACTTCTAGCCTCCAGAACTGTGAGAAAATCAATTCCTGTTTTTTAAGCTACTCAGCCACATGGTATTTTGTATGGCATCCTGAGTTGATTGACACAGTGCCTAAATAATATATCCTGCTGAACCGAATTCAGTTATCTATAAACATCACAAATTTTTATGTTGGAAATACGTGTATACAGGGTACAATAACAAAACCACGTGGCACAGATCTTTTTGGCTTATGCCCTTTAGGGAGCTGATCTTAAATTAACCAAGCTTGGCAGAACCTGTCCTTTTTTTTTTTTTAAAACCATTAACACCTTGGCAGTAGGAGGAACCGACCGCAATGTTGCCAGGCCTTTTCAGTGACAAATATTAAGTGCAGATGAATGCTGTGAACTTCTAAATGTCAGCACCAAGAAGCTCATTCAAGTATTTATATTACACTTGGCCAGGAAAGGCCATGAAAGATTGATGAGAGCCTGGAAAAAAAGAACATGTTGTATGGACTCAGTCTGGATTCTGTGCTATTGGAGTCCTCGAATTCTGTGGGATTAATGGTTAAAAATCTATCCAAATCCCTTGAATCTGGGCAACAAAATTATCCACAGAAAATATCTATTTTAGTCTACAGAAGAAAAGGCTTAGAAAAATACCATGTAGACATATATTTATATGCTAAGAGGAATACTGACTGCCTACTGAAACACCTTATGTCAGGCAGGGTTCTAAGTATTTTATATAATTTATCCCACTTTAATAGTAAAGTGAACCCCAGGAGGTAGGGATTATTATCTATCTTCATTCTATAGGTAAGAAAGAGAGACTATAAAACGTTACCCAATTTGCCTGATTCCAAATCCGTACTTAATATTGGGATGTTATATCGATAATGCTGGGGCTTGTGGTGAAAAAGTAAGCAAGAGAAAACTGATCTTTCCTACAGACTGAACTCAGTGACGACCGTTTTCAATAAGGCAGCATTATGGATATATAAAATGTCCATCAACAGATGAGTGGATAAAGAAGATGTGCTACACATATATACAATGAAGTGTTAATCAGCCATAAAACAGAGTGAAATAATGCCATTTGCAGCAACATGGATGGACCCAGAGATTGTCACACTGAGTGAAGTAAGTCAGACACAGAAAAGACAAATAGCATATATCGCTTATATGTGGAATCTAAAAAAAATGGTACAAATAAACTATTTACAAAACAGAAATAGAGTCACACATGTAGAAAACAAACTTATGGTTACCAGGGGGTAAGGGGGGAGGAGGGATAAATTGGGAGATTGGGACTGACATATACGCACTACTATATATAAATAGGTAACCAATAAGGACCTACCGTACAGCACAGGGAACTCTACTCAATACTCTGTAATGACCTATATGGGAAAAGAATCTAAAAAAGAGTGGATAGGGAGTTCCCTGGTGGCGCAGTGGCTAAGACTCCACGCTCCCAATGCAGGGGGGCCCGGGTTCGATACCTGGTCAGGGAGCTAGAGCCCACATGCATGCCGCGACTAAGAGTTCACATGCCACAACTAAGGAGCCTGCCTGCAGCAACTAAGACCCGGTGCAACCAAATAAATAAATAAATATTAAAAAAATAAAAAAGAGTGGATATATGTATATGTATAACCGACTCACATGAAACTAACACAACATTGTAAATCAACTATATTCCAATAAAAATAAAAAAAAATAAACTATAGTCTCCTTGAGGATAGGACACATACCACTTTGGACAGTAGATGCTCAGTTAATATCTGTTGAATAGATTTTTTAAAATAATGTTTTATTTTCCTGCAATTTATCTACTATTCTCAGAGTAAGGGACGAAAAGGATGAACCAAACCAAATTGTTGATTATGAAGATACTCCTCAAATGTGCAAGAAATACACCCCTCACCCCACCGCCTCACTTGGATACAGCCAATTCTCATCACAGTTTCCAACCAATTATAATTATAATGCACGAAGGAGAGCCAATGGTTCAAACCATTTTAATAGTAAATACCAGTTATTGCTCTCACCCACCCATCCATTCATTCATTTAACAAACAATTCTTAAGTATGTCACTTGTGTCAACCACTATGGAAGACTCTGGTGTCCAACAATGAATTAAACATAGTTCTTGTTCTCAAGGAGCTCACAGTTTACTTAATGAGAAAGATTATGGGCCAATAATGGAATAAAACCTAGTAGCCTGAAAAATCAAACTATGTTAGTGATTCATACCAGGGTTTATAGAAGCACAGAGGCGGGGCCTTAATCAATCCTCTGTGTGGGCGGGGGCCATTTGAGGGGACCAGGGAGGGGATGCCTCAGGAAAAGCTTCTTAGAGGAAGTAGTGCTCGAGTTTGGCTGTAAGAGACAAGTGGGCGCAGAGAAAGTACAGGGAGGGGATGAAAACGTGTGAAGTCTCGGCAGCTGTCAAAGTAACAGGACAAGGGCCCACGCGGCACGTCCAGACATGGGAATTGCTGGGCTTGCCCAATTTCCCCTCATTTTCAGCCGTTTAGCTTGAGATTTGAACTCTGATGAGGCCTAGGAACTGTAGCCTGTTAGTATCTTCCCAAACTTTCTTTCACTGTATTACTTTCTGTTCTAAGTTTAAAGGCAACCACGTGCCCACTGCATTCCTGAAATATGCCTTTGATGTTCAGAAGCTCTACTGTTTTCTGTGATCGTTCATTGGTTTTTAGCTTATTTTTCTAAAACAAACTGTGCACTTGAAACATTTATAATCAGTACTATATTAAGATGTGATATTGGTGGAAGGTCTTTGTTTCATAAAGGTTTTCTTCTATATGATTTAATATGTGTGAGAAAAGTCGAGGTTATAAAAGCCAGATGATTTGCAGTGAGACTGGTGTGAAGTCGTGTGTCACAGCTAGTGTAATCTCTCAAGTCAAATAAAAATTAGATCCCTTATTTCAGCCATACAAGGTTTGTTTTGTGGTTTACATGGAATAACTATGTTATTCTTGTATTATTTTGAATTCCAAGTATTATTTTATTTCTAGTCTGTTTTACTGATTTGTACTATATGGAACTTTAATAAAATTACTGTCATTTTAACAGCAAAATAAATAAATAAATAAAGGACTCATAAAATGTCAGGGCTGGACCAGGGTCTTTCAGACCGAGAGTTCAACCAACCCAGCTGATGCTTGAAGCCCAGTTCCAGGATACTGCCTGCAGGCTGTCCAGTAAATGCTTCAGGACAACACCATATCACCCTCCAAGCCAGCAGAAGCTTACCCAGGTGCAAGCAGGGTTTCATGTTTATGTCTTCAACGTCTGCTACGGTGCTTGGCACAGTGCTTGCTTAATGACTAGGTCCATGAATCAGCATGCTATGACACTGAAGTTTAGTGATGACAAATCCACCTAATTGCACATCCAGTTCATCTCTCTCCATCCTGTCTAAAAGGA